TGAAAAACAATATAAAACTTCACAAATAGTGAAAAATTATTTATCGGAAAATGTAATGTTAATTCATATAGTATCATAGAAACAAGACCTTTTATTCATCGTGAGAAATCAAAATTTATGCTTTCAATAATACGTTATAATCAGAGTACTTGTAATTTCTAATCAATAAATTCATACGAACGAGACTATACTCATCATGCTATACAAATTATAGTTTTTAGCCTGTTGTATATTTTATAAATAACATTTAAATTAACGAATATTACTAAATTATATACTAAGGACAGTGAATATTGATTCACACTAGTTCATAGGAACAAGTCTATTCATTCATCATATACAGTGTCCCGCCGTGTTCTGACATCTTTAATAACTTTTTCACCACCAATAATTTCGAGTTAATATTTTTTTCTTTTAATAAATTTTAGTTTTACATTACATACATACTTTTATACACATATATATATATATATATATATATTTCAAAATTTTATTTTACCATTTTTCTTAAAAAAACTTTTTGATGGGTAGATTACAACTTATTGAGTTACAAGCATTTTAATACATAGTTTATAAATAGTGCAGGTGAATAGGGCACTTACATAAGTACAATACCCAACCCCACCTTCGCTTCGTGCTCACTCATTCTTTTAAAATATTTAAAACATTTTAATACGATAAGTGGATATTTTATAACATTTTTTAGCGTATTAAAAAAAAATGTTTTTAACATAGTCAAAACTATCAAAATTATTTTTAAAAAAGTAACGCAAAATATTTGCTTGTTCAAGTTATTAAAAATGTTGTATAGATTTAAAATTTATACTTAATTATGTTGATATAAGCAATAAGTTCAGAATTAGTGTAATTTGTAATCAAGATTTCATACGAACGAGACTAAGTTCATCATATAAACATACTCTATTCATTAAAATATAAATACTATGACTAATTGTTAACAAGTTATCAGAATATATACATGGATTCACATTGGTTCATAGGAACAAGACCATTTATTCATCATTTTAACTTTTTTTTGTAACGATACGTTATATTTTAGTATTAAAAATCAGAATAACTCCGACTTTTAATTGGTATTCTATATTTATAAGACTAAAATATCATACATTAGAAACGATAATACAAAATTTTACCTAAAATTTAATTTTAATATATTTAACAATAGCTAAGTCATTACCTTAAGCTGAACTACATTCTATTAAATTACACTATTATCTATCTATTAAAGATAATTATAAGCCAATAAGTACATAAGAATATTGTAAAATCATTAATATATATATATATCCAACAATGAATATAACTACATTTTGTTATTCTATTTTTTTGTTAAAATTTCAGTTTTTATTCCTATTATTATAATAATCATAAGTTTAGTCAACGGAATTCAGAGAATATTTATTTAATCAAATATTGTTCATATTAACGAGACAAAACTCATCATTTAATCACCGATAGCCTATTATAAACAAATGATAAATTTAAAGAATATACTGCACTAATAATTCTATTTGCTTTCAACTATTTATCTTAAAAGATTTTATTAATGAATAAGCACATAATAATTTGCATACTCAGCGCTGCATGTAAAATACCTTTATAGCAAAATAAAACATTTTTTGAAGAAAAAACTTTCCAATTAAACATGATATCATATCTAAGTAAAAAGGTACAAAAGTTACAATATACGAATATCTGCAACTTTAATTGTGAAATTGTGTTGAATTTTAGTTTTGTCAAGTAAATATTCACAATATTCCAAAGTAATTCAAGAAATATTATGTGTTAAATTTAAGGAAATAGGTTAATTGTAACAAACAATAAGAACAATAAAAATATTTTTATCTTTTACTGAACACCTATATATTGACTCTAAGAAAAATAGGAATTGAACAATGAAGTCGTATTTATTACTTCAAAATTATGAAATTACCTTTTTTTTTTACGAGGAATTTATTATAATAGTGGTGCTAACATACTATTATTAATTTCATAATTTTGTTATTTAGGTTAAAATTAAAAAAAAAAAAAAAACAAATAAGACCTTTTTTGTTTATTGTTAATTGGAAAAAAATGAAATAGATATATTTTTTTATAATTATCAGAATATAAATATGATAAATTGTCAATTTTTATTTAATTGTTGACTGATTAGGTTATATAATAAAAAACAATTATTACATTAGAGCCAAAAAGACTTGCCGAATTATATCAGAGTTGTTAGCAAATACCTATTTAAATAATGTAGTAGCAATTTTTGGCATCAAGTAGGCGTATTATGGATTCATGCCATAACTATATTTACTTTATACGAAAAATGTTCAGATACTAAAATAATTTTAAGTTGGATTTCAAAATATTTTTTTTTAAAACAATTAATTGTTAAAGGAAATACTATAAATAATTATTTATGGTATGACCCCCCACTTTATTAATATATATATATATGAAAATTGAGCACAAGCTTCATTATTATTCTCCTGTTCTTTATTTTCTGTAGTTATACTCGTTGATAGGAGAGTATAAGCAAATTTAACATTTCTTTCTCTTTTACTCTCAGGTAAAATAATACCACAAATGTTTCTTCGATTAACCTCAAAATCCCCACCTTGGCCTCGCGCAATATTTATCCCTTTTTAATTTCTGTTTGTATCTCAAACTATGCTACAAATGAACCACTTGTAAGAATTATAAGGATTACCAATACTAAACCATCTCACTCTTCTAATTAATTTACTGTATCTTTTCTATATTGTTTCTACGTTGTTCATTATAAATTTTTGTTACTTTGTTTTTTTTTATTGCATCTTGTAATTGTATTAAAGTTATATGTAAATTCAACTATGTGTTAAAATGTTTTTTGTAATGTGACCATTACAAGTCCGTATTTTAATTTAAAATAATTATTTATTTTAAATTACAGTGAGATAATGTCGATAGTCCATCGATGACAAATAAATATAAAATATGACAATTGTTAAGAGAAATAGATGAAAAGAAAAGATAACATATTTTACAATTATTTTGAGTGTAATATCATATCAGACGCTAATAAAAGTTATACACTTTTTCAAAGCAAATTCATTGTAAGTTAGCGATTATTAAAAATGGCATTCGCCTAAATCAATATAATAGTTATGCAATTTTGTCTAGTTTTTAATGGCGATAAATATTAGTAGTTAATTATATCAGAATAAAAAATATAAAATCGGACTTCTACCCGTAAGACGAAATGTGTAAATTGGTTTTCCTAAAGATTAGTGATGCACGCGAGTGTGCACTTCGTACTCATTTATAATTCACCAGCCGTTTAAAAGCTATTAATTATTGTAATTAGATTTACAGTTAATTGTAGAATTCTATAAATTATCACAAAGCCATCATCATTAATATGTTTATAAAACGTTTGCGACGAATTGGCAGAACATTTGCTGTCGTTGTTATTCTTAAGGTTACATAATAATTGAAAATTACATGCACGCGCTTTCCATGGACACAAGTAAACAATAATTATACAATATTGACGATTGATACATTAGGGTAAAGTTTGTAGTAGGTAGAACAAACAGACATTTAAGTATTATAAAACCGTCTCCCAACACAACTTGTCAAACTTTGTCTAGTAACTGTTTCAGTGAAAGTTTTTGTTATTGAAGAAAACAGTCTGTCACCGCCAACATTTCTTATTTTATTCTATAAAAAATTTAGTGTTTACACAGACTTTATAGATTAAAGGAACTACTCCCTTTCGTTATAGTTGTCGGCTGACCAAAGCAAATCAATACGAGTTTTGTTTATTTGTTATGTTACCTCTGCCCCAACCCGCCATGTCGCTTCTTATACACACAAATCGTTCGATTTGTGTGGGTAATATGAAACTACATAGAAGATTTTTATTAAACTCATAAGTTTATCGCCACGTCAGTAAAATATCACAATACACTCTTACAAATTAAAAATAAAAATTATTTCAAACATTTCATAGGATGTACCCAATTACAAAATACATTTTTTATGATAAAACATACACTTATTTTAACATTCAAGTGATTCGAACACATTAAATATCGATTTTAAAATTTTATTTAATTTATTCATATTTAGTTCAATTAATAAAATACAGACCATAAAACGGCAAAAAAAAAGTAAGTCGATTTTTTTTATTTATTTGATAATGTATGAAACGGATATTTCGACGAACAATCATTATGCTAGTTCTTTTTTATAACTACAAGCACTCATGTAACTTCTAACTAAGTCAAAATGAAGACTTATATTTCTTCATTTTTTTATTTCAACGCCGAGATTGTAATACCGCCATATGGTTCTATGTAAATATACAACATTCAATATCTGTTTATATTAATGTAGGTACGCGGCATACATATTTTACAATTGTTAGTACACACACACTTTTAAAACAGCACACATACGCGATAAGAACTATTATTACCACCGACCTCCTCGGAGAGTGCGAGGTTAAAATAAAAAAATTTTACTTCTGTTGCAGGGAATCCACGGTATTTGTACGATGTTGCCAACAGACATAGCGGATTAGAAATTCATATGGTATTGTATAATAGGGAATAGTAACACACATAAACATGATCAATCGAGCAAATTTAACACAAATTAAACTTTGAGGATTTAGCTAACACGTGGCTAGTATTTCAAGAATAAAATAAAAAAAAATTGAGTTGTCATATAGAGACAAATCTTGAAGCCCTAAAATGAAATTGTTCAATTTCTCTTTGAGATTTATCGAATGTTATTATTTTTTACAATATAACATCAGATTTACATTGTGTAGACATTAAAATAGCATATCGTTTTATAAATTACCGTCAACTTGTATTTTAATAATACATATAAATTATCTTTTGGTAAATTAATTCCATTTCTGACGTCACGCACATTGAAAAACTAATCAACTTATCATAAATACCTATCATATGTTATTTACGTAAATTTCAACTTACAAAAACAGTTTTGCGAATTATCAAGTTTCGATCGTCGATATCCACGTGACAGCGAAACTAAGTTGAACGTGGTAAAAACTGGAGCCTCTAAGAGAAAATAAAATTTATATAAGTATCAACAACAGAGTTATCACGTGCGCATTAATCATCCAATTTTTATTTTTACTTTATAAAATTCTAGAATAAAAAAAACTACTGTTTGTATTTTATATTGTTTGTTTTATGGCAAATAAAGTATTTTAATGTAGACGACATACTTTGCTACTCGGGTTTTAGTTGAACAAGCATCAAACGAGTTAAGTGATAGTTTACACGTAGTGTCATTGCGTTATTTAACAATAGAACACTATGGCCGACGGATCACAGTCGAACGATAAACTACGTAAAAGCGGCAAATTAAGTAAATAGTAAAAGTTTCCTTTAGATGAGTGATTTATTTAAGTACCTATTGATTTACTCGTTGATTTATGATACGGAATTAAAGGTTTTGTGAACTGCGAAACAGCTTAAAAAAATTATGCTTGGTCCATGTTGATAAAATTTAATAATCACATATACTTGCACGACAATTTAATACCTTACAATGCCAACGAATCTACAAACACGCTGATTTTGTTATACATAGAAATATTATACTAACAACAGAACTGAGATATCGAATTATATTATCTATTATACTAGGTAAATATTATTAATTAAAAGAGTAAAAATGCGATTAATCTATTGAGTTTTGCTGACATGAAAGTAAGCAGTGCTACTACTGCCGCTACTCAGAAAAAAAAAATTAATATGTTAAATGTATCAAACAAATTTTTTATCATTGATATTATGGATTTATTTAGAACGTTTATAGCATTAATTTTTTATTTATAAAATATATTAGTAAAATTATAATTATTATAATTTGATTAATATTTAAATAAAGCTTCTCCATTATTATTTGCAATCTCTATTGTTTATAGTATTTAAAGAAAATTATTAACTAGATAAATCTCATTACACAATCGATAACCTTATACCGGCCAGTCAGTACAATTCCTATTAAACATACAAACAAAACAATAATTCACAGATGTCTATTTTCAAATTGAATTGTAGTTAACAAAAAAAGATATATTAAAGGAATACTACAGAACAAAAAAAAATAATAATAATAACCTTGAATTTGGCTATTGGTTTCTTGACAGTTGTCAATATAAATAGTTAGTTTACGCCTAAAATAGATGAAATATGTTCCTTAAACAATCATTGAATTGGTGGATAACTTTTTACGGTACATGAATAAAATATATACTCAAATGACCAACGTAGCTGAAAACAATAAAAACATATCTGAACAGTTTTCGTTAATTTATATATATATATATATATTTTTAGTGCAAATCCAGAAATAATAATTACAGACTGGAAACATGTATAACGGGTGACGGTTTTGTGTGGAGTAATAAAAAAAAAATATCTGACCAGTCAACACCTGCTGGGCTAGTTCCAGTCGGATTACTAGCGAAGTATTACTGGAAACTAGTTTTTTCTTTGTTAAAAAACCTCGGGAACACAAGAAATGTAATACACTATGTAGACATACGTACACGCACATAATAAATACACATACATATACACGTATTATTGTACACTATCATAGACCAATAAGTCCTACTCACTTTCTCCCAGTTTTAAACATACCACTGGGCGAGTGAATCCTCACCATACGCACGTTATATTAAAACAAAAAATAAGTGTATGGACATATTTAAGAATAGATGTTTAATACACACGCCAAAGCGGCGGAGTATTATGATGTGTATATTGTTTGCTGATTTGGCGATATTGCTGATGTGTATTTTCGACTTCCTGAAACCCCACAGGCGAAGGAGAAACAACAACCAACCAGGAGACTGTCACGGTAAAATCGGCGGAGAAGTAGCAAGGGATTTTTGCTGAATCGACACGTTTGGAATTGCACGGCAGCGACGTTCCAACATCATAAACTTTAACGGGAAATAAAAACAATTCGATTACCCATCACAAATTTGTTATAGAGTAGTCAGCATATTAAAAGAAAATACTGTACATATTAATGAAATCAGTCATCTTAAAAAAGTCCTACTACCTAAAAATTCGCATTAGTTAATGCACTACAATACGATCGAGAATTTAAACAATTAAATTTCACAACGTTGTTTTTTCTCTTGGAATAAAAAAACCGCACACGTTTACGATTTGTTACCAACACACGCTTTATCTTCGCTTTCGTCGCCGCCGACAACGATGATAACACGTAACCTAACAGAATAATAATAAAAAAATTTAGCAACCGCAGACGGTTTGCGTAGTTATCGTTAAATAATAGCGCAACAAGCGGCAGAGATCTCCTCTGTTGCAGCCGCTTCACCGTCACCGATGGAACCGTGTCCAACACATTCAATATTCATACAGACACGCACAACCGGTTTGCGTAAACCATATAAAATATAATATTTTTCCTTCTCTCATCTTCTCCCCGGGTTTAGGGTCAAGAGGCGCGCCGAGACCTTTCCTTTACCACTCCTTCTTATCGAATCACCCGATCGCCACCACTGCACCAGTCCTTGATTCCGATTTCTATCGTGTTCGTAATATGCGTACCGTTTATATTGTTGCTGTAGACGAACTATCTGAAACCGCATGCCGCTGCCATTATGTTCAAATGGCAGTTAAATATTGAAAACGATACAACAATGATAGGGTAAAAAATAAGACCGGATTAGAGTACTAGTAGCTTTCACTAATGCTAATACATCAACACTAACAGCTATATTCATATGATCTCGGACAGATACTATTATTTTAAGCAAACATTGTTTATTTAAGTATTAAAAATTATTGCTGTAATCAGTATTAAGTTTTCATTACTATATCGTACGTCTTTTTGTACGTCGCATGTTCCTCAGGGGAACCGGTCCATATCATTTATTTTGAAAATATAATTTGTAAGACGTTTACTATGTAAGGCATTAGAGATCATGTAATAACCAATTCCAGCGACCTCGGTCAAACATCAGATTAATAATGATTTAAAATTAAAACTGCGAACAGTTTATTAATGTTACTAATTGAAGTATGAATACAAAACGATAAATAAAACTTAACGAGGACAATAAAGTTACATCGACTTATAACGATACTTTTTCATGCAAAGAATATTTATTTGAATGACGCTATTAATCCTGTTATTAAGACAAAGTTCTGTTATAATCTTTGAAGATAACCCTTCGATTGGCCACGATGTAGAGAAAAGACAATATAAGATATATAATAGTGATTTAATGGGGTTCAATAATATACATTCAAGTTATATTACACGCAAACATTAATAAATACACGTGGTCATAACTTTATTGAGCCCTCAGTTATCATGAAAAATTAAATTTGATTATTAGTACATGACTATTTATTTAGATCATTGTGCGTATAACTTATTCGTAGACACAACAAAATCGTTCTTCAACATTCAATAATATTCCTAATTATAAACAATTAATTAAACAATAGAGTTACTTAAAAGAGAACTTAATGTGCGATTTAATTAGTTATGATAGACCAATACTAATAGCCATTACAGTTTTCAAATGAGAAACATACCAATTTTGTATGTTTTTCGAAGACTGTATAACTAAAAATACTCAGTACGAAGACGATTCTGTTAAAATATAATTAAATAATTAATTACGTTTAATAAAAAATTGAATATTATAAATAAATAAAAAACGCAGTGAATTAAGTAATAAATTATTTTTTAATCGAACGTTTTTTTCTTGGTATAACAAGATAAAATAAAATTGGTTTCTTTACTTTTCCCAGCAAATAAACTAAAAATTAAAAAAACTTCAGTATAGATTTTTTAAACATAATAAAAATAAAACAAACAAACAATACATCAACTATACAAATTTTAAATAGTCAATTCATTTTAATAGTTAACAAAAAAAACGTATACATATTTTAAAAGTAAATGCCAAACAAACATTAAAAAAATCAACATAATATTATAACTTTTGGAACGATTCCCTGCCTAGGAATCAATAAAAAGAGAGCAAGTATACAATCAAGTTAAAAAATCTGATACCAACTTTATCAACACTAAGTCTTATGAGAGTAAAAATAGAATTTTTAAAAACGAAATACCTGCTAGTACTTGAGAACAAGTAAATTTTTTTAAATAAATAATTAATATAAAACAATAACAAAATATAATCAGTCTCGGGTTACATTTTATCAGTCTTTTTTTACACGTTCAATGTTGCAATTCGCTGGAGGGCACATCGAACTCCGGTTGTACTGGCCAAGGTTGATACGCACGATTAAAATCCACGGTCACAGCACTTTCTTCGTTATTGTTGCACTGTGTACATTTGCACGTAGTATCCGTTTGATGTTCGCTAACGCAATACCAAGACGGAGACACCTGCTGAAAGTGTGGTGGTGGTGGTGGTGGTGCAGACATTCTTGGCGAACCTTCTACATAATTAACAAACTGAATGTTTGGCGGAGTTATGCGGTTCTTATTTAAATTAAGAGGCGATGGTTCCACCATAATGAATCTATCTTTGAATGACGGCTGCATTACTGTCGGAGGCGGTGGAGGCGTCGACATGTACCAAGGATGCATAACGCTTCCACTGTTTGTTGGATTTAAATTATTCAAGGGTAATACTGGTGGTGGATACTGTGGCAAATAGTAGTTGGGAGAAGGGAGAATAGCCGCAGTGTATCTAGGAGAATCAGGTGTCGTTTGTTGTCTGTTAGGGCGGGTCGTGGTTTGATGTTGATACCTTGGACTTTCGCAATGTTTCTCAGTCGCATCTACTGTCGGCTTACAACATTCGTTTGATGTGGATGACACGTGACTCACTTGAACAGGAGGACTGCTGATAGAATTCCTAACTTCTTGATCTACGGGCATGAGTTTAAGCTGTTCGAATTCTACATCAATTTTTTGAGCTAAATCTTTGACGTATACTTCAACGGGTTCGTTTTTCTCTCGAATACGTTGTATGTAACAGTCATATTCTTCATTCCCAATCATCACTAAACACTTGCTGCCTTCT